GCTGGTCTCCCTGGGATATAAAGCCATATCTAGACCTTAAGATTTATATATACTGTTGAAATATCTACCATTCAGCAGCAGATGTAGCCATGTCAAGCCTTGGTGTCTATGTTTTCGAGCCTGTGCATAACCCCCATATCTGGCCCATGGTCACTTTGTTCATGGGCCCATTGTGCAATGACAGAAATGGCCAGAGAAAGAGACTGGCTGCCACAGAATGGGTCATCCTATCTACATAATTATTGAACTCCTTATCTGAAGCCACCTTCTGATGAACATTTACATGCGACACAAATGTCTTCATAACCTTTGAGCATTTGGATCTATCTATCCACATACTCCTTCACCAGATGCCTTTCTCACCAATTTTCCAATCGTCCTCTTTCCAAGTCTTTGACCATCCAGCCAATCCATTAGCTACAGCTTACGAATCAGAGAATAATTGCACATCTGGCCATTTCTCCTTCTCAACAAAACATATGACCATGTGTACTGCATGAAGTTCTGCTCACTGTGAAAATTTCACATTGAGTGTCTTTCAGGGTTTTCCCAGAAAGGGGAAATTATATTGATGCAACGGTCCACTTTTGGGTGGTACCTACATAACATGCAAAACAGTAAATAAACCAGGCTGTAGACTTCTCTTCCTCAGTAATCTGATGATAGGGTATACTCCATGAGGCTCTAGGTGCAGTTAGCAGCAGAGGACATTTTAGTAGAAGCAGAGACCACAGGCATTTGGCAACTTTTTCATGTAACTTGCCTGTGCCTTCAGGATGTGTTCAGGCTCTATCATATATATACCTGCTGTGGGTAGACCCTTCTGTATGCTGTTAATGTATGTTGCTCTCATTGGTGGATAACAAAAGCTGATTTGGCCTATAGCTGGGAAGAATAAGGTGAGACAGGAAAGCAAAACAGAGATACAGGAAGAAGAAGGGTGGAGTCAAGGAGACACCTGCCAGCCACTAAGCAAGCAAGGCATGTAGAAAATGAGGTAGTAAGCCATGAGCCATATGGCTAAACATAGATAAGAATTATGGGTTAATTTAAGTGTAAGATATAGTAATAAGCCTGAGTTACCAGCCAAGCATTAATAAGTTATGTTAAGACTCTGAGTCAATTATTTGGGAAGCAGCTGCTAGATATTTGGGAGTTGCTGGCATGACAGAAACTTTCCTTTGATAATAGATGGCTGCTGTTCACGTCCTATTTTATGATTAGGTGGGTCAGATAGCACCTAGCTCATGATGGGTAGTTCAGGTCACATGGTAACTTGATGGCCCACTGTCAAGTGTTTAGTTTCCACTAAGGTCAAATAGCAGGCCAAGAACTATCTCCTGCAGGAGGGCTTCCTCAACTCTGCCTTTCATCAAGTACCTGTAATCACATCTTCATCCTTGTCTAGCTGTGCTGTGAGATTTGAAAAGCTGATGGCCTTGGTAGAACTGATGATCTCTTTGATCCAAGGCACATACACCCAGGGTGATGTCCATGAAGATTACCTCTGCAAAGGGGAAACTCTTCTGGAACATCTGGGTGCCAGGCTCACCAAAGCTTTGTTCACAGAGTCCATCCACTGTGGTGCCTGGCTCCATCTCTGCCCAGATAATGAGTTTCCTTGATTGGTTCTCAGGTCTCTCTGAAAACAGATTGCACTAACAAGCCAACAGCTACTGGAAGCACTCCTTCACTGTTAGGATTGGCTCCAGGTTGGCTGGCATGGGCTCTGTAGAACAACTGACAAAGGGGCTGCCCATAGGTTTTTATCATGGTTTTTAAAGCTTGTCTTTGCACTGGATCTGCAACTGTAGAGACATCCACTGCAAAGTATGTTGCGTATCCAGAACTTCTGCTACCCAAACTCTTCTTTCAGAAATAGTGCTTTGCTTGTTACTTTCCCAAATTCTCTCTTATTGAAAATTTCCTCAGTTTCACCTTGTGTTAATGGGAATAGCCAAGAGCATCCCACAATCCACTGGACCAAGTGTGTGAAATCACTACAGGGCTTGTCAGCTGGAGCCAGGACTCAGATGAGTTGTGTCCACATCATTCCACCCAGGATCATGCTTGAGCCCACCTTGCTCCAAGGCCACAGACAATCTGGGCTCCCATCTGAAGGGTTTTAATAAGGATTTTCCTTTGCAAGCTTGCCTGTTGTCTATGTGGATGCACTATAGTATCCAAGTACAAGTTGATGGAGGACAAGGTAACCATTTGCTTGTTTCTGATTATCATTCCACTTGATAAGAACAGTGAAAGTGTAGTCTAACATTAAATCCTTTTTCATTTTTAGAATTCCTATGATGAAGTATTAAAATAGCAAATGGATGTAAATTATTTTAAAAATTGGCAGTCATATTAACGGTAATCTCAGTAGCATTCTTTAAAGGACACTCATGTTCATTGCTTTCTAGATGTTAAGAACAGTTACCAGATTACACTTATTGGCAATGGAATTCCAAGTTATAAAAAAAATACTGTCTTCATTATTGGCCAAATAAACTGAATTCTGCTTTGCATTAAGTCATCTATTTTCCTGTTCAATTATTCCAGCATTGAAGGCCAAGAAGGTGAATAACATTGCAACAGAGCCATACAATTACAGTCAGCAATGACATTTCTAAACAATTCAGTAAAAATCTACTTGTGGTAAATTGCAGCAAAGCATAATTATGTTGAATTTTAGAGCAAGCAGAATAAACTTAAAGGTTTCTATTCCTTCTCAAATGAGTGCAACAACAGATGGGCTATAGCTGAGCAGTTAAGTTTCATCAATCATCTCAGAGTGGGAGCTCAGCAAAGCTGTTCCACAGCTGGACGCTGTAGGTCAAGCTTGAGATACACAGTTTGCCAATCCCTTCCATTCTAAGCCTTCGTTTAGAAATTGGATTAATTCTGAGGACTACTATGAAGGAATTGGACTTTAAACTGTACTGACGTTTCCATTTATTTAGTTGTCTCAATTCTGCAAGTCATCTCACTCGGCTTGATGGCCAGGTTTGAGTTCTGGCATGACCTCAAGGATTTTAAACCGGTCTCACCAGACATTTAAAATATTTTGGTTTCTTCTCCATGGGATAGATACAATGATAACGTGTATCTCAGGTCAGTAATTAAATGTTAAGTGAATTATTTATTATTCAAAAGCATTTAGTACAAGGGCTGACTCACTATAAATTTTCCAATAAGAGATGGCTGGCATAATGTTTACTGTTGTTGGAAATAGCCCCACATTTCCAGGAAAATGACAAGTTCTCATTGATATAGTATGACTTAGTATTATAAAGTATTTCTAATTATTTGATATTTCTCAAAAAACTTGCTTTATTTTGTAACAATGAAAGTGGCTGCCAGTTATAATATATGGTCATTATTTGAAAATATTTGTTGAGTCATTTTATAAAATGTGAGAGGAAAACTTTTAAAACAAGTAAGAAACAATGCTCATAATATAATTTGTCATAATTTAAGAACAAATTATAAATATTTTAGACAGAAACTATTTTTAATAAATGTTCTATGAAATAAACAGAGGGAAACTTTTTCAGATAACATATTTAGAAAGCATATTTTATTCCTAGAAAGGCATATTTTTGAAAATGTGCACATTTTTAAGTTTCTTTTATTCTGAAATATTTTATCAAGTACAAGATTAGCATTTACTTCATTTCTAGGAATCACTTAAGAATAATGTGTCCACATTTAAAAAGTTTGAGGTTGACCCAAAGGGTAAATAAAGACCTGAAAATAGTTCCTAAGAAAAGGACACATGAGATTGAAAGTATTTAATTGTAGGAATTAATTAAAAGAATGAATTGAGAAATAATATGGATTCCTTCCACAATGGTAAGAGCAAGTCATTGGGATCACCATTAAATATAAAATAAAGCCGGGTGGTGGCACATGCCTTGAATCCCAGCACTCGGGAGGCAGAGCCAGTCGGATCTCTGTGAGTTCAAGACCAGCCTGGGCTACCAAGTGAGTTCCAGGAAAGGCGCAAAGCTACACAGAGAAACCCTGTCTCGAAAAACCAATAAATAAATAAATAAATAAATAAATAAATAAATAAAAATAAAAATAAATATAAAATAAAAATACTATAAAAAAAAGAATTCAACAAGAAACGCTTATATATAAGAGTTAGCCCCAGCAGACTCCTAGAGTAATATAATGTGCTCACAGTAGCATGGGAATGATGGGTCACATCGCTGACAGTGTGGTACCTCTAAAAATAAATATAAATTACTGAGGATAATAGGATCTAATTTCAGTTTAGACCTGAGGAATGTTTTCAGCTACTAATAATTAAAAAATATTTCAATGTGCTTGAAGAATTTACAGGTTCATGTAGTTAGAGCCTGACGTGCCTGGCACTGAAGCTCAGTGCTATCACTCCTTAGTGACACTGTTTTTCTGATTTATCTTCAAAGATGGCTTCATTTGTCCTTGGTGGTGACCAAAACTAATTAATGACAAGTATTCTAGGCAACACATACAGAAAAGCTTTATTCTAGATATATTAGAAAAGACATGTCCATCACTAGAAAGGCATATTCTTGGCAGTTGATCCCTAGCATGGAGAAAAGGGCCTCTGGGAATAATTTTTACCTTTTTTTTTTAACATTTATACTCACCATAGAGGAAGAAATAAACACTGCCTCCCTAGTGCTGGGATTCAAGGTGTGCACCACCACCACCCAGCCTAAATATTTTCTTACTATTAGAATTTTATCATTCTATTATATTACAAATGGCTTAAAATGTACATTTTAGAGTCTGTTGTGTTACTATTTATAGTTTGATGTGGTTTTCTTTCCCATGAGTTCTTGGAGATAATATTTCACATAAATTAACTCCATGGGTAAGTAAAAATATATTATGTTGCTATAAATCTTATTTATTAAACTAGAAATTATTATTGAAAACCACACTATGTATGCTTCATGCAGGTGATTTTATACTTATTATTTCACCTTAATTTTTATTTTTTCCTTTAGGGTTAAAATGTAACACAGTGAGAAAAGGACAGAGGTAGGACTTTAGTTCGATAAAGCTTTTTGAATTAGTCGGAGCTCAAGAAATGGATGAGTGTCACCGTCTAACTGAAGGTCAATATCAAACAACTCACAGGTAGGTAATGAACTAATTGGATGATATTTGCATGCAAATAATCAAGTTTTATAAAGTTGTAGCTTCTGTATTAAAGATCATGTAAGATATTTGTTTTATTTCAAGTTTCAGCTTTGGAAGAATATTGTTTTGTTATCATTCTGGGCACTACATTGTGTATGTATTAATTTAAAAGCTATTCTTAAAGTTGTTACCAACAACTGTTAAAAATAGATTAAACATAGATTTCTGTTTGCATTTGAGCATATACTCACTGGCTCCAAACTTTATTCTTATAATTCAGATGAATATTAATGTGTAAAGTCTGTAATTGTGTAGTTATTTTTTTTGAAATTTGAAATTAAAATGTTTCTTTTTCAAAGAAAGTGGCAAACAACTTTAATCCTAGAACCCACAAAGCAGAGGAAGGTAATTTTTGTAAGTTTGAGGCCAGCCTAAGAATTCTACACAGTGCATTCCAGGGCAACATAGTGAGATCCTGCAACATACACACATGTACACATACTTAACATCTACCATACTCTTAGCCTGTTTCAAAGACTAATGTAAGAATTCATTCATTATGTATTTAGACTCACTGAAATGCAAAGTATTATATTAAATGAGTACAGGCATCAACTGTATTACTATTTGTAAGTGGTCGTGTGTGTGTGTGTGTGTGTGTGTGTGTACATGCAAACATGTGTTCTACCACACACATACATGCAAAACTTTGTGAAGTTGGTTTTCTTTCCACCTTTTGGGTCTTTAGACATTGAGCCACCAACTTGGCCCAAAGCATCAAGTTTTATAAGCTAGTCCTGCCTTCCTCACTTTAGGATAAGCAGAAATATAAGGCACACAATTATATTGAGTGGTGTGAATGAAATCAAACATGGAGTGTTGGGGTTGGGAACATCAAGGAAGGAGGCATTGTTTTCAGTTTTAACACTCCAGAAAGTACTCATGCTGACCATAATCAGCTGGACTTATTCACAAGTTGTCATTGTTGTGAAAGATTTGTGCACTGTGTGAAGATGTGTTGCCATAACTGACATAGTAAAGAGCTGAATGGCCAATAGCTAGGCAGGAGGTATAGGTATAGAGAGAGAAAGGAGGAAGAGGAGGAATCTAGGCACAGGAGAAGCCAGGAGATACAGAGAAGAAATAGGAGGTACAAGATGGAAGACAGGTAATGCTATGTGATAGAATGTAGATTAATATAAATGTGCTAAGTTATAAGAGCTAGTTAGGAACAAGCCTAGAAATAAGGCCAAAATTTAATAATTAATAAGAAGTCTCCATGTCATTATTTGGGAGCTGGCTGGTGGGACAAAAGAAGACTCTAGCAGTATGATTTCAGCTGAGGGCAAGTTATACATAAACCTGCAGCAGCAGGGAAATAAGAGGACAAATGTTCCAGGCTCACTAACTGGTAGCCAACTGACTAACATGGCCTAAGGAAATGTTTGGTTTATCCTATACCATAATTTAAAGTTGTTAGAATTTCAGCCAATATTAAGACAGGGAACTTTGGGTCTCCAGCATTTCATCTCAAGACAAAGTGAAGACTCAGCTTCATTTCATTTAATACACAGTTTGTCTGGAGCAGAGTTGTGCTCAAAGGGAGGATCTTGAAGAGGTTGGGGGAGAGTAAACTCTAATCAGAATATATTAAATTAAAATATTTATTTTCAATAAAAGAAATGAAGAAAAATAAAAATAACAGTATAGTTTAAGTATCAATGTTCTATCATTTATAAATTATAGAATATTATAAATGAATATTATTTATTATTTTTCTTCCATTCTCTCTCTCTCTCTCTCTCTCTCTCTCTCTCTCTCTCTTTCTTTCTTTCTTTCTAGTATCTCTAAAGATTAGATTTTCTAGAAATTCAAACCTCACATATGGTCTAGCTAAGAGCACATACTGACTTTGCAAGACCCTATTGCTGAAAATACCAAATATTTGAATCAAAGAAAATCTAGAAATCATTCTGTCACCTACCTGGAAACTTCATCCCTACTGGGAAGCCTAGCTTTCATAGAGCTACAAGGTCCTATGCATATTAAGAGGGGAGAAAAGTAATCAATCTTATCCAGCTGTGAACCCTATGAGCTATAACTTAGACCTATTTGACCAGATATGCCCATGGATGCAATAGTAGCATGAATGTCACGGGAGTAGCCAAACACTTTCTGATTGGACTTAAATCCTGCTCAGTAAGATGGAATCCAATCCTGGCACAATTATTGACATGTTATAGGCGCTAGACTCTGGAGTCTAGAATGAGATCTACTATTATAACTAATGAGCACAGTAACCGACTCCTGACAATGCCTTATTATACCCATAGATTAGTGCATCTCTCAAACTTTATTAGAGAAGCTTCTTTTTGAAGGAGATGATGATTGACATGGAAATCTACAGCTAGTCAAGTTACAGAGAATAAGTGACTGTAGAGTCCTCATTCTTAAATGGGACATCTATTGTTACACTGCAACCTCCTGCTCCAAAGGCTCAGTAATTACTATGGAAGAGGAGATGAGAAGATTCTGAGAGCCAGACGTGGTGGTTAACAATAAGAAAACAGTGCTTTCTAAAGATGACAGGATAATTGCACATATGAACACACAGCAGTTTCATGACTGCACACACAAAATCTATGCAAGCTTAAGCAAGACAAAAATTCAAGCATTGAAATGGGAGGTGGGTATTAAGTCTTATCTCTAGCTAAGGAACTATTGGTAATTGATAACAGTTGCTGGGGAAGAGAGAGCTATCATTTTTTAAGAGTGCTATCTGCAAATTCTAATATGCTCTAGTGGATGGCCACACACATAAGAGACTATAAGTATTAATGAGAACTGATGGATTAAAAAATGAAGACACAGTGGTAGGTGAATATAGATGGGGGTGAACCTGGGAGGAGATAGAGGATCAGATGAATATGATAAAAATGCAATGTAAGAAACTCTCATGCAACTGCTAACATATAAAAATATGGTAAACAAATTTTATATATACTAATTCTCAATAAATGAATATACTCATTTATTGAGAATATATATGTGTATATATGTTCTCAAATGACTTCAGCACAAAATTTTAAACTACCATTGTCATTACTTACACCCAAGTTAATGTTCTTGGATTTATCCATGTTGTCATATATTAATCTCAGAAATAATAGTAACTTTCATAGATCCATATGTCTGATATCCTTTGATTTTTTTCCTTAGGATGACTTTGATATAATACTTTAAAATACTATTCAATAACTTAAAAATTTTGTGACAGTGTGTCACATAATATATTCATTTTTCAAAACAGTAATTATTTTCAACTCATGCATTTACACTACAGTTGCTTCTGTCACTCAGTAAAATGGATACTGCTTAGTCATACTTCCCTAAAAGCTAGCATATGGTTTCATATGGTTCAATGACATAAACATTAAAAGTATGCTGTCAGCTTAAAGTAATGTGAATGCATAGTTTATATAAACTAGGTCCTGACTATAATACAAGTATAACTGTGCAACATCAGAAAATGACAGACTATCAAGGGACTTAAAGTTTAAGAGTCCAGATAGATGACATAAGTAGTTATACTTCTAATCAGTGTTTCTACATAGGGAAATACACAGAGGCATAACTTCATAAATTAGAATCAAAGAGAGTATAGAGAAACCGATAAATGTACAAGCCAAGATAAAAATATAAATCAATCTCAAAATAATTTAGTCAGTTTGTCATAAGAAACACAAATATTGAGTCTTAAAATGAAAATGGAAGAATACATTAATTTCCCTTAATATTTAGTGACTATAGAGAAGAGTCTTTCTCTCCTGAATAAGTATATAATATATGCCCTTCTAAGAGTGTTGTAAATCTATTTAACCATAGTTTAGAGGAAGGTTTGATTATCATTAAGTCTATGTCACTATAAATCTTTTATGCTTAATTTCTTAAAAGAGTTTAGGTTTGGTAATATCCTATAAGACCTTTCTTAAAGAATATCCTTGTTTTTGCAATAAAGCTTGAAGGACAATTCACATGATTTTTTTAGGTTAAAACAGGGCACATGCACATAATAATAGATTTTAAAAGCTATCCTTTGGAAAATTTTTGGTTGATGGGTATCAGCTGTCTTTCTCATACTATAACACATACAGTACTCATGCATATGCATCTGTGTACACACACACACACACATACACACACAAACATGTACACATGCACACACACACTATCAGGTCATTGATTTCATACTGTATCAATAGGGGATGGAGCAAGGGCAAATAAAGTCAGTACTTACTGTTGTGTTACAAACTTTACCCAAAATGTAGTGGCTAAAACCAACACACTACTTATTTTGCTCATGGACGCTCAGTCTGCTCAGTCTAGGAATCATCCTCTGCTGATTAATCCACTGTCACATGAGTCAGTGTGTTCAGTGTGGCGATTACATTTGCATATCTTTACAAAGATATCTGAAAACAGTAACTTAGGAAAGGAAGTATTCATTTTTGTCTCACAGTTTCAGAACATGCAATTAATGGTTGGTTGGCCTTTTGCACATGCGCAGTGCATCATGGTAATAGGAGAATTTGTTAAAGGAACCTTAATGTCATGGTAGATAGCAAGCACAGAAATCCAGGCAAGGTGACAGGGAAAAGACACCATGCAAGGACTCCTCCTCAGTGTTCTACTGTCCCCATTCTGTTAGGTCCCATTCTGTAAAATTTCCAAAATACACCAAAATAGTGCCACTAACTAAATATCAAACCTGTAACACATGCACATGTTTGTGGGACATTCCATATCTAAGCCCTAAGAGGCCATTTGAAAGGTTTTTCTTTGGAGTTCCATTTGTTCATTTGAATGATAATTAGTGTTGTCTAATGGAAAATTATCTGAGATAGATAGACCATGTCCACATTTTTTTGCATGTAGTTTTTTTTCCTGTGTGTGTGCTTACAAATCAGCAGCTAGCTTTCATGAAAAAGTAAGGTGAG